AGTTTGAGTAGGTTGATAATTCATATTTATTAACTTTATATTTATTTAGTTTCTCTCAATTTAGCATAACTAATAATTGAGTAGATTTGGGATGAACATATTATTCAAATTGGTTGATGAGAAATTTAATATCCTTTTAGCCAGATTATATATATCGCCACAACAAAAAGAAGTTTTATTAGTATTTTTTTGGGATAATGTCCAAGTATCTCCTCAACCTATGTCCGAAATCTCAGAGACACACTTATACTATACTAAGGTCCTATTACCCCCCTAAACTTATTTTATTAATAATTTATTACCCCTTTTCGATCTACGTGGCACTATCTTGTGGGCCCAACGATGATTGACTTTTTTTTTCAAACTAGTGCCACGTATGCTAAAAAGGGGTAGAAAATTACTTATAAAATAAGTTCAGGGGTAATAGGACCTTAGTATAGTATAAGTGTGTCTCTGAAATTTCGGCCATACATTGAGGGGATACTTGTTCATTATCTCGTATTTTTTAAAATAAAATGAATTATAATTTTTAAAAAATTAAAATAGATTAATTAAAATTTGATAAGAGTTAGGTTATGACTTGTCCACCTCATATCAATTCGAGTAACATTCAAGTTGTTGAATCACTCACACAAACTTCTCCCTTTTTTTTTCTTGAAGTGGTATAACTATATTTACAGAATTTATTGTGAATTTTGATTTTAATTTGTTAAAAAATACTTGCAATCATCCTTCTTTACTCGAATTGAAAATTGACCTTGAATCAAGAAATGAATATGTAAATAAGGTCATACAAAACTAATTACTTTAAAATCCTTTAGTGACAAAGCAAAACACCCAAAACCTAATCATGTATCAATTTGTTAGAGATACTTGTAATCCTTTTTCATTTTTCGAACTAAGACTCGATAACGCGAATAAGCTCATAGAGACTTAATTACTTTAGAATCTTAGTGATTAAGTAAAATAGCCCCAAATCTTTCCACTTGTATGAACCATCTTTTATTCATCAACAACTAATCAAATATTATCACACAAAGTGTTTGGTTGCCTAATACTACTTTTGTTCTTTCTTTCTTTCACCAACCAATCAATTGGGAAACAGTAAAATTATGACAAGTAAAATCTAGGAATCCAAAGCTACTAGACAATGACCATTGGACCCCATATAGATATTGCTACCAAAATTTATGGAAAACAACCATTGTATACCCTTTTCTAGGTAACAAAAACAAGGATTACAATTGCCAAGACTAAACAAGTTTGTTTTTATTAGAAAACGTTTTATTTTTTTATGTAGAATTAATTTACGTGAATTTGAATTTAGCGTAAACTTCAATATGAATATCAGGCGTTCGATAAATACTAGGTAAGAGACATATGAGTTTTTCCTTAGTGGAGAACGAAGTGTCATTGATTGTTCAGAATTATCATGAAATAGGTCAATTTCCCTTGTTCATGAAATAATGTTGAGTTGGGCCACCCACAAGGGAGGTTAATTATTTAGGTTATATTATATAAATCTCGTAATATTAATTTGCAATTTCAATTTATCTCTAATAAGTTTTAAGTTATATTAATTTTTTAAATATTTAAAAAATTGGATACACTAACTAAAATTTGAATATATTAATATGTAGCTCAGATATATTAAATACTGACTCAGATACATTAAATACTGGCTCAAATACATTAATATACAGCTTGGACACATTAAAGAAATAAGAGATTTTAGCGATTTTTGTAAAGTGATTGGGGATAGTGAAAATAAGTGAAATAAAATGTGTGCATTTTTTTTTATAATTTATCCAATTATATGCAAGTCTACAATCATGAGGGTAGAAAAATTACATAATTTTCCACATTAGTTGAAGACTTGGGTTTACAATAGTTAACAATATTTGAATTCTAAATGAATATCTTGCTAAATTTTGAATAAAAAGAGTAGTTCTATCTGTTTTGTGAGAAGTTTTAGTGACAGATAATACTAGTCGTGATTGTTATAAATTTTTATTTATATACGATAGCTCACAATACAGATATATCTTTTTTTAATGTAGAGATAAATCTATGTGAAGTTCTAAACGTCTCTATATGCTCATAACAATATTTATATTGATTTTGTCTAGGATTTAATTAGGAGATCGAACCTGAACCCTTTATGAGTGGATCCGACTGTATAATATTGCATTTGAACATGATCACTTATGATTAAGAGTTTCAAACTCTTTCACGTTTCAGTTCAATATACATATAAATTGTTTTTAAAAAATGTTAATCAAAACATAATAAAAACTTAAAAGAATATTTAAAATCTTAAGTTTTGATTTTTTTTTCCCGAAGAAATATTGTTTATCCACTCATTTAACATTCTTATTAATATATGAATTTACTTTGGCCACTTTGAAATAGTTCTTTTATTTTATTATATTTGCCAATGTGGAAAAAATATTCTTATAAAAATAATTCGTGTGCTATGATGGAGTTGAAGAAATTAAAAAATAATAATACATAATAATGTGAAAATAATTTCGTATGAATGATTAAGTATACAATTTATTCTTTCAAAGGGACCACTTATTATGGAAAATGTGAAAATAATATTCATATGATTTTTAGGTGTACTTTTCATATTTATTTATTTTTATAAAATTAATGACCCACCCTCACCTCCCCTAGGTATATTCATAGTAAGTTGTATAGATATGCACATATCCTATGTATAATATATGATTATGTGTATTTTTATTTTTATAATAAAGGGGATAGGAATATTGGATAGAAAAGTTTGCTTAACGAATCTTATAAATACTTAAAATAATAACGAAAAAAATTAAAAGAATATTGATCGAAAATAAATATATTCAAGAGAGAAAAGATCGTATATTAAAATGAAATTTCTCAAAATAATTTTTAATTAACCGATTGAATTGAAGAAAAAACAAACAGAAGTCAAAAATTTGAACGTTAGAAATGAAAAGGAGAAAATATTTATCCGTTTTTAATTATATGAAAGCATTTATAAATACGAAATTATTTTTTCATGATTTTTCATATCCAAAGGAAAAATTCAATATCAAATGCCACCAAATAGTTGTTTTGCACTTTTCATAAAGAAGTCTTTAAATAAATAAAGACAGATATGACCCATAAACATCTTACATTAGAATAATCTGAAAAAAGTATTCTGATTCATATATTAATATTTATATTTATGATTTAAATGACACAAAAATAATTTTATTTTTAATTCAAAATTTCTTCGATTATTTTTCTTTTATTTATCTGAATATTCCACTGCCAATGTAAGTTGGTTTTAAAGACATTCTCATGACAAGAATTAAACAAAGGAAAATAAAATATTTAAAAGTAAAATACAAGTACATCTTTGATTATTTCATTAATCGAAAGCATATTATTATTAGATTCCATTTAAACAGCTAGTCAAATTTTTGGCTTTATGCACGTTATAAATTCAACGATAGATTTAATTAATAATTTGTTTTATTTCGTGCCAAGATCAACGCTACTCCTTTCTACATTTTCCCTAATTTTAAAGTTATATTTAATTTTGACTCTTTATCCTTCTAGGTGGACTTTTACACCTACTTTCAACAATCTAATTTATATTGTTTCGAGCTGAAAATAAGGTATGAGGTATGTCAAAAAAGGCTTGCTAGTAAAATTATATTATTTTGAGTTTTATAGAGCTAATATTATTATTACGCTGTGTTATACAGACGTGACTTGTAAATAATGCTGATACTATTTAACCATATAAACAAAGTATGGGATTACCTCTCTTTATAATTAACGTGAAAGAAATGTTATATTCAAACTTGTTAATTAATGATGAAATACAATTTAATTTCGACTTATCTAGAATATAAATAAGACTTTTTACATCAATAAATTGTTTTAGTAGATGTTTGACTATTGATTGTAGCATTATCTAGTAATCTTTGATAAGAAATATATAATATATTAATTTTTTTACACCAACTCAAGTAAAGCTATTAAAAGGAAATAAAGTGAAAGAAAGAAGTATTATTGAACCTAAAATCAACTTCATGTATTTCATTATTCATTATATACATAATTTAATTTTCAATAAATCAATTATAAAAGTGTATATACACTTAACAATTCAAAAGTTATGAGTTATTGTTATTTTATTGAAAAGAATTACTTAAGTTTCATATCTCGCAAATCACATTAGACAAGTGAGATATGATAAGTTCAACCGAAAAAGATTTTGGCTAAGAAAATCAATCTTCAATCTCCCTTGTGAATACTACATATATATCCTACAAACATACATTTTAATTTCGTTTAAAATTCCAGAAAAATTCACAGTTATTTTTTTTTAAGCATACATTGAATAATTCACTCATACATGATAATTGCCCATAAATTATATAAAAAATATGAATCATACTAACTAAATTCGATATAACAAGATCAAATAATTACATATATTAATGTCAATATTATAATTAACCAAACCACATCTTACACTTCAACAACTAATAAACAAACCCCCCAAGTTCTTAGAATCCTACTTTTTCATTGCCATCCACTTTACACAACTCACATTTATGTAACTTCCAAACAAATCCAACACCCATAAAAGCATTTCACGCCGCGATCGATTTACCTTAATTTGAAAATATTTATTTCAATTTTTTAATAAAAAAGCATATATATATTTTAATATATATACATAGATAATGCAATTGAATTCACTAAACATAAGACTTGAAAGTTGACTCGATACTTTAGAACGTGAGTGAAAATTATATATATGTACTAAATTTTCATTAGTGAAAATTCTGTATACAGCATTACTATCGAATAGAAAAAAATAATAAATAGTAAAGCGAAAGAAAAATCCAAAAATAATATTAACAAAGAAAAACAAAATAATAGAATATTTTGATCATCACAGTTCACAAAATTCTCTCAAATTCACCAGCTTACCTGTCCCCCCCACCCCCTATAAAAGTCCACCCCCCTACCCCACCATAACCCATTATATTATGTATCTATAGGTCAGTATATACAAATTTTCCGGCGAGTTATGCTCCTTCTTAGTCGTCGTCTTAGCTGAGGTGCGGAAATCCGGTGAGGTGATGGCGGACGACGTCGTTCCGAAGACGTTCCGTGCGTTGGTAGAAAGTGCGGAGAAGAAATATGCAAGAGTACGGGATTTACCGGCGTACGGACGGTGGGGAACGAGTAACCACTACTTTCACAAGGTGTTTAAGGCGTACATGAGGTTATGGAAGTATCAGCAGGAGAACAGGATGAGGCTTTTGGAGTGTGGATTACAGCGTTGGGAGATCGGAGAGATCGCTTCACGGATCGGTCAGCTTTACTTTAGTCAGTATATGAGGACTAGTGAAGCGAGGTTTTTACTCGAGTCGTGTATTTTCTATGAAGCGATTTTGAACAGGAAGTATTTTGAAGGTTCTGGAAAAGATCGGATGGTGAGGTTTAAGGAGCTGAGGTTCTATGCCAGGTTTTTGATGGTTTCGTTGATTTTGAACCGGACGGAAATGGTGAACCTGCTGGTTGAGCAGTTTAAAGCTATTGTTGATGACAGTAAAACTGCTTTTCCGGTATAGTTCCTTTTCTTAGTTAATTATGTTTCCATTTTTATGGCTTTGAAGCTCATTTTCAACAACTTGCTATTTTTCGTTCTCGGATGGATGAACTTTGAGTAAATATTTAAATTGGTAGGTTTCAGTCACTGCTATTTCTCTTATCTTATGGAATTGAAGCTTAAATTTAGAAAGGATTTTCATTTGTATGATAGACATACAGTAGTTTAGCTGTCAAATTGAGGAATTAACATGAAATTTGAACATATTTTAGTGGATTTTTAAGTTAGCTTTGGTCAGTCTATTTAGAAAGCCAGAAGTCCATCAATTAAAAGGAATTTGTCAAGATGTAGGGTAAAATCCACAAATTTAGCTGTTAGATTGAGGAATTGACATGATTCCTTTAGCACTTTTCAGTAGATCACTTAAGTTCGCTTTCGCTCGGAGTGTTTGGAAACAAGAATCCATATTTACCTCTAGCAAATTAGGTGCCTCTTCCAGCTCCTTAGTATGGTAAAAAATTGCCCCCGGGTTAAATTGATTAGGTAGGTTGTAATATCATTAGCATACAAGTAGTGCTTTTTAGAACATGTCAAATGTCTGGCATTTAAAGAGCTGTGAGGTACGTACTGTAGCTTCTCCAGGATAAGCTGTCATGCATTTTATTGGTTGAAGTGATTGAGAACTTGTGACAATTGAGTCGTATAGTATGACTTGTATGGATTCAGCTTTGTCATGTAGTACACTTTTGGTTGTAGTGATGGAGATTTGTCTTTTTAGTTCATAGTAAAGAGTGGTCATTGTTTTTATTGGGCTGAGGGCCAATAGGAAACAACCTCTCTACCCAGTCTCTGTGTACAGCCCACCCTCCCCAAACTCACTTGTGGGGTTCCACTGGGTTGTTGTTGTAGTAAAGAATGGTCATTCTCTTAAAAATGGAGAAAAGTTTCAGTTGAGATAACCTTTTTACTGGCTACATGACTAATTCTAGAGTTGTGCTGGGATAAGACCTCCATTAAATAAGAAATGGAAAAAAAAGAAGAGAAAGAGGAAATTAAGTTGTTGGTGCCTTTGTTGTCTTACTTCAAGTTGTTCAGACCTAAAGTTTTGACCATTCCACACAATATTATGTTGGTGTAGCCTGAAAAATGGTTTTATATTCACCTTAATTGCCAAAAGTGCTAACTGCCTCTTTACTTTGTACTCTAGAAGGAACACAATACATACACACTTCTAACCGTTTTGAATGTTTAACTTGCATTCTTACCTATGCATGTGAATAAGGTTAGCATTATGAACTTTGGGGTGGTGCATTGGTGATGGTGAACCCCGCGCAAGCATTCCATGACTTTCTTCCGTCTCTTTCTTTTGCATTTTCTGTAGTGTCAAGAAATACTATTGTTGTTTTGTTCCCTCGCTTTCTTTTGTCTTTTAAATACAGATCTGTGCACATCTTATGTGTATATATGAAACACATCTGTTATAATATACATTTGAAGAGAGAGACATTAAGAAGTTTGGTTGAGTTGTTGCTATATTGGTGATGGTAGTGGTTGTCACTCAAAAATTAAAAAGGAAGTGTGTTCAACATGCTCCTAATGAAACAATGGTCAAGATTATCTTCATATTATCTTCAAAAGGCTCTGAGTGTGAATGCAGTTTTTGTTACGCCCGTTTACTCTATGAACATCCGAGCACTATGTTTTGCAATGGTTACTTAGTGCATAGGAGATGATTCTCATACTTAAATTTTTGGGAACTAGCTGAGCCAGTACAAAGTTGAGAACTGAACAAACTACCCATCATTTCTCTTCTTTTTCACATCCAATGAGAAACTGGTGATTAGTTGGTTTGTAGTTGAATTTACTTTGATTATGATTGGAGCACCCTTGCATCTTCCAATTGCATTAAACAATTTAGTTTTGCTTCAAGCTACTTTAGCCCTGTACTTACTATCGATGTTTCAACAGACATTCTGTACTTCTTTCCGTAAGATGAACCATTGTAATAATTTCACAGGGTACTAACTTCAAAGAGTGGAGACTAGTGGTGCAAGAAATAGTTAGATTTGCAAGAGTTCATTCTCCATCTCCTGATGCCAGGCCTTTGCGATATTGTGCTCTCTTTGATTCACATCCATCATCTCGTCCATACGTGGCTCGCTTCCATGCTAAGAAGGTGCTAAAGTTTCGAGATGCACTGTTGACAAGTTATCACAAAAATGAGGTATTGAAAACATCCACTTACCTCAGTGTTAAGTTGTGCTCATTTTGTTGCACAATTAACCTACCCTCATTTTTATTTCAGGCCAAATTTGCAGAATTAACTCTGGACACTTACAGAATGCTGCAATGCTTGGAATGGGAACCCAGCGGATCTTTCTATCAAAGAAGTCCAGTTGAACCACGAGCAAATGGTGCAGTGACTGACCAATCTATAACTTCTGGACTGATTGACATTAACTTGGCTGCTGAGATGATGGATCCAGCTTTGCCTCCAAATCCAAAGAAGGCCGTTCTTTACCGTCCTAATGTTCCACTGTTGATATCTGTGAGTTCTGTTGTGTTTATTGTGTTCCCATTTGGATTACTCTATATTTAAGGAGTCCTTTACTGAAAAACTGCTTCATATAAAGGGAAAGAATGTAAAATTAATCATGCTGGATATATGATGGTTTAAGTTATATAATTCCGTGTCTTGGGAACTGATCGAACAAATAATTGCTGAAGCACTTGATACTATACAAAACATGGGAAGTAAAACTAGAAATTTGACTATTGTTGCTTATGTTGCCCACTGTATGTTGCCTGAAGGGTCGATGTTAATAATGACTTGTTTGCACCTGAACCCACAATAGCCATTTAAAATAATCTATTTAAACTTTGAATCCTGTTCAAGTGCTCATATCTACTTCGACTATGGAATAATACCTTATCTGAGTGATTGCTTCTCGCGCTCCTCCTTTACAATTTTTGATGTTCCTAGTGTGTATCCTTAGTTGTTTGTTCTGGCACCTGCAGGTTGTCGCTACGATGTGTGAGGAGCTCCCTCCAGAGAGTGTGGTATTAATATATATTTCCGCATCAGGTTTGTGACTTCTAAAAAATGTTTTTTCCTAACCAAAGCATCTGATTAGCTACTTAATTGATGAAATTCAGTTCCAGATATGCTAGTTGTGGCTGAAATCTTAATTCTGTGATATACTTCCAGGAAACACAATTCAGAATACCACCTCGCACACAGAAAGCTCTTCTAGTTCTAGAAAATCTTCGAAGAACAGTGTCTTTTCTCGTACTTCCCATGAACAAAAGAGTGCTTTACATGAAAATTATACCAACACCAATGGAGATACAGGTCAATATTTCGAGAGTTGTTTGTGCTTAGGTCCTAGCAGAAGTGGAGGTATACCAGTAGATGTTGATTTATGTGTAAATAAAATGGTTCATGATTATCTCATTTTTCTAAATCTAACTGCATGATTTTTACTATTTGGATTTTTGCAGGTTCAAATAACCTCTATCCAGGCGATCTTATTCCTTTCACACGAAGACCTCTCTTCCTAATAATCGATAGTGACAACAGCGATGCATTCAAGGCAGGTTTGTCAAAACTGTGTCTAACTCATTGAATGATGATGATCTATCCCTGAGTAAGACACACATTCCAAAGTGTGTCTGGGATTCTACTTGTTGTCTAGAAAGTGTGTAGTGATGCTTTTGAGAGAGAATGACGAGAAATTTTGGTGACTTCTAGTGAGTAATGAGATGCAAAAAACATCGATTATCACAGCTTCTTATGGATATTAATCTGGATATTGTTCAAAACAAAACACAGTAAGCGTATAATGAGATATTGTCAAATTAGAGGTTCCATCATTCCATTTTCTGGCCTTCTAAAGCTCAGTATTTTATTGAAACTGTAGAGAAGTAAAAATCTAGCTTACTCTCATTTGCTCTCAAGAGTATAAGTGGAATACAAAACTAGGTTGGTTCGGTGGTAACATCTGTTATAGATGATCATTTTTCTGTGCTTTAGTTGTTTACAAGTATTGATTTGGCTCTCATAAATTACATTCAATTGATAAAATTATACGGTGGAACATAGGGATGAATAGCCAAAGAGAATCCTGTTGTTTTTCTGCAGGATTAAGTTTCCATTCAGTAAGTTTTTCTGCAGGATTCAGTTTCCATTCAGTAACCTCAAACCTGTCTGCTTACCCAGAGAATCCTAAAAGAGAATTCCTACCTGAGCTACAAACATCTAAGATTTCCAAATGTCTTCCTATCTTGAGACCCTTAGATGATTGTACTGCCATCATTGTTATCTTTGAGTCCTTGCTATGCCTGATAACATGTTGGACTTCTGAATGTCTTGTTCATTGTTCTTGATCATGTTTGTTGAATTATGTGAGGCGGTTCATATTGAAGTGAGTTGTTGAAGAAGGGACAGTTGGATTTTTCCAAATATTTTGTTGCTGCTATTCCCACCTTATATTTTTAAAGCTACTCAAACTCAATTGCTTCTCCTACCAATCATCAATACGAATGGATTGGCTGTTTTTTTCTCGTCTTTTGGGTGGTCGGAAAATTACTGTTGTCAATGTTCTACTTCACATATGACTTATTTTATTGCAAGTTCAATTTAAAAAATAATCTTTGAGGAGGACTATTTCTTTGCTGATACATATCACTTGTTTCTCTTTAGGTTCTACATGGGGCAGAAAGAGGAGAAAAAAGTGCTTTGTTTCTCTCTCCTCTGAGGCCATCATTCAAGAACCCAGGCACTGAGGTAACACAAACTGGAAGTCAGTTCACGTTGTTCTTGGCTGCTCCCTTACAGGCTTTCCGCCAGTTGGTTGGCCTTGTCTCATCTGATGAGGATATGGTAAGTAGATAGCGAAGCTAGTTGCTTTACCGAGCAGTTGTAAGCTGGTCTAACTTTCAACTACTGCTCTTCAGGATTGTTCAGATGCGGCTGATGGCATCATCTCAACTGCATTTGCAGAATGGGAGGTAATCCTCTGTACATCGACTAACCTAGATTTGGTTTGGGCTCAAGTTCTATCTGACCCTTTTCTGAGACGGCTTATTCTCAGGTAAGCATTTTCTGTTTCAACCAATCTCTAGTAATTTCTCTGTTACAAGTTACCACAGGAGCCTACGTAGATACTAACAACATGCTTTTTTGTTTCTTCTGTGTAGATTCATATTCTGTCGTGCTGTGCTTGGTCTATTCTGCTTGCATGAACGTGGCAATGAGTATTTGCCTGTTTGTCTCCCAAAGCTTCCTGATACATTCTCACCAGATTCTGAAACTGTTCAACCAGCTATCAGACGACTTGCAAGACTTCTAAAAGTTGGAGATTGTTTTCGATTTTGACATTCATGAGACGTGAATCGTGATATATGGTGCTCCCTTTATGATGTAAAGAGATCCAGAAACTTACCAGTCAGACGCCACCCTGGTTACCAAAGTGCTGGCTGGAAGTACGAATGCATTCTTTTTAGGTGATCGGTTTACTTAGTTTACATCAAAATATCTTCTTATTTCATGTGCAGAATTTTCGGGGTTTTCTTCATTATTTAGGCTTTCTATAGCAAGCATTTGGTTGGTGATACTGTGCATTTCTAATAGAAGGGGTCAGTCGAGTTTTTGTGTTCAGTTCTTTTTGTTCCTACAGGAATTAGTGCTAATTTGTTCATATGTATGCTGTATTATAGAAGCTGTCGGTTGAATTCTTTAATTAGAGGCTGAGCAATTTCTCTTCCAATTTGTGTTCTAAATTTACTCCAATTCAGTTCTCCTAATTCAGTTCTCCTCCTACTTTGATAATGACCAAAAGAGCTCATTTAAGTTGTATACATCGATAACTATATTATACATGTTTTTCACCATAGTGTAATTCGACATGCACTAAAGCCCTTTATTGTAAAATATTTAAAATAACTTGTATAGAGGTGAGCGAGTGATGAAAACCTAACTTAAAATGCACGTAAATGATACAATGAATTGATTACTATTCAGGGAGGTTGTAGAAATATCTGAGTTCACGAAATTATGACAGATTAAATGGTTTTAATATTTCGCTCAAAATAAAAGATTATGACAGATTAGAATGTTTTAAAAGTATTCGCTCAAAACAAAAATTATGATAGAGTAGAATGATTTTAACGAATTCGCTCAAAACAACAACTATGACAGATTAGAATGATTTTAATGTATTCGTTCAAAACAACAATTACGATAGATTAGAATGATTTTAACGTATTTGCTCAAAATAGAAACTAGGATAGATTAGAATGATTTTAATGTATTTGCTTAAAACATAAATTACGATAGATTAGAATTATTTTAACGTATTCGCTCAAAACAGAAACTACAATAGATTAGAATGATTTTAACGTATTCGCTCAAAACAGAAACTACGATAGATTAGAATGATTTTAACGTATTCGCTCGAAACAGAAACTACGATAGATTAGAATAATTTTAACGTATTCGCTCAAAACAAAAACTACGATGGATTAGGATAATTTTGACATAATCGCTCAAAACAATTCCATATGTACAAGTTAAAACAAAATTTCAGTACGTTATATTCACATAAAACATCAATTCATAACAAGGTTTTTAAATGAACGTATGAGATACAATAAATTCCTGACAGCTCATGGAGTATCTATAAATACCCAATTATTCAGATATGATTAACTAGACTCATTTTAACGTATTCGCTCAAAACAATTTCACATATACAACTATTTATACCGAGATTTTAACATACAATATTCACTCACTTACCATGTCATATTCCAAATATGAATAATATATAGCTTCCTATTTTCTAGTTTAGTGTAGTTAACTTCAACCAATAAGAATCGAGTATTATGCCCTCTCAATCCACTACAAACTACTAACTTCCAATCTGAACCGTCAAATCATTTCCTCTTCCATAAATCTTAGCCGTCCAATTAGTTTGGAGAAAACACAATTAACACCTTTATCAACCGTCGATACCTAATAAGAAAACACAGAGATCAACAAATCTCAACCGTCCATTTTTCTCCTTCGTCGTCTTCCACACACAAACAATATATATAGGTATTAACCTCTAAACCTTTGAAAACTTTCGCTCACCAAGCAGATTAAGAAGAAGAAGAAGAAGAAGAGAAGAAAAAGGTGATTTTTTAATAATATTTTTATTATTTATTTTGAATTTTGCTTCGCCGCGCGGTTGGTTTTTTTGAATTGTTGTTTGTATTTCAAGTCAATTTTGATCTGTTTGCATTTCTATGATTAGGGTTTGTGATTATATGAGTTGGGTTTTTTTTGTTTTTGGGTTTTCCTCTTTTTTTTTGTGTGTTTAAAGATTGGGTTTTTGAATAAATGTTGGATCTTTTGATTGTTTGATTATCTCTCGTTTGTAATTTTGGAATTTATTGTAGAGTAATGGGTGTTTCTTTGATTTGTAATTGGGGTTCTGTTGTTAATTGTTCTTGAATTTGCTTTTAAATTTAGGAATTTGTATGGAATTATATTTTAGAGCGCTTTCAACAACAACAATAAACCTAGTGGAGTTCTGTAAAGTGGGGTTTGGGGAGGGTAGATTGTAAGCAGAAACAGAAAGACACTTGGCTCAAGCAAACCACAGCAGTATAAGTTTTGTTTTCTATAATTGGGTTTTTGTTGTTAGTTCTCTAGACTAATGTGTGAATGTATATGATTGGGGATTTTTGGGTTATAGATGTTTTAAGATTTGTATATGGAAGAACAGAATGTTTTGTTTAGTAGTGATATATTTGAGTCAGAAAGTTTTTGGTACAATCTCCAAGTTTGTAGAGCAAAATTGGATCTTTGTTTAGTGTTTGATGTTAATTTTGTATGTTTCTTCTGTAAGCTCTCTTGTGTTGCAGGTTATTACTGCAAAAATTGATTCTTTTCTTTGTTTTTGTTGTAATCGTGGAAGTATTGGCTGTGTTGTTTTCAGATGGCTCGTACCAAGCAAACTGCTCGTAAGTCTACTGGAGGAAAGGCCCCTAGGAAGCAACTTGCTACCAAGGTTTCTCATTTTTACTTGGCTGTCCTTTTTATGAAATTGTATGTTGCTGTTTGATATCTAACAATGTGTGTTTTTATTTGAATTAGGCTGCTCGTAAGTCTGCTCCTACTACAGGTGGAGTGAAGAAGCCTCACAGATACCGCCCTGGTACTGTTGCTCTTCGGTAAGTATTGATTGATATACTTTCTGGATGAAGATGTTGATTCTATAATTATCGTGTTCTCTTGATCATTAATTGAATGTAGTAAGTTACTTATTTCTTGATCGTCGAATGTGTGCTTACCTATTACAGTTTCTGATATTATGCAGTGAAATCCGTAAGTACCAGAAGAGTACTGAGCTCTTGATCAGGAAGCTTCCCTTCCAGAGGCTTGTTCGTGAAATTGCCCAGGACTTCAAGGTAAATTTTGTGCTATATTGTGTCATTGGGTCTATGGTCTGCTTTATGGTTTAGGTGTTTGATTAATTGGTTCCCTGTGTGTCTCGTTTGGTTTCAGACTGATCTGCGTTTCCAGAGTCATGCTGTGTTGGCTCTTCAAGAGGCTGCTGAGGCCTACTTGGTTGGTCTGTTTGAGGACACCAATCTTTGTGCCATTCATGCCAAGCGTGTGACCATTATGCCCAAGGACATTCAGCTTGCTAGGCGTATTAGGGGCGAGCGTGCTTAAGTTGATCAACCATGGCAGTTCTATTGTTGCTCTTTTTAGATTTTTCTTTTTGTGAAGACTTAAAAAGTTGGTAATGAAATCTAATAGTAGGGATAATGTCGTATGTTGATGCTTATTTTTGTAAGGTGGGTTGGAGGTGTGCTGTAATTGTTGTTCTGTTTGGGGGCGGAAAGTCTTAATAGTATCTGTTTGAATCTCTCTTGATGTTTTTGTTGTCACACTTCTGGTGTTGAACAATATTTCAAAACTTGCATCTTATGGTTTAGTTCAACTACTGTTTGGTAATATCGTCTCTCTTCATCTTGTATGTCCGCGACTTCAGACTTGCTATTAGCTCTCTTTTTTGGTTCAAATTTGAGTTTTGGTATCATTGTATGATGATGAATTCCCGCAGGGTGATACCTTTGTGCTTGTTATTGTGAATACTTGGTAGCATTGAACAATGTGTTCTTTGTGGGCTGTGTGATACATCAAACCTACATTTGCAATTCTTGGAAAGAGTCATCAACTTGACTCCCTATTAGTTGCTTTCTTTGACTCCTCGTGGAGTATAGCTCACATTATGTTGAGCAAAATGAAAACACACAAACTCGTCATGATTCATGTGTACTGCTGTAGTACATTGTGCGCGGACATTACCACTAACTCGAATGGACCTACTATTTTGATTACTTAGTTGTTTGTTTCATTTCAACCTTCTATTCATATCTCTAATGTTTCTCAGCCATTTTCCAAGCTTCAAGCTCAAAACTTTCCTCCCTTACTTTGAACGTTATTCTTCCCGCTGCACAAGAAAACCCCATAAATCACCTGAATTTGTATACGCAAGCAATGTGAGGATCAATGAATTGGCACGACAAGGCAAACTTCAACGTGCCCGGAAGGTGTTTGATGAAATGTTGGAGAGAGATGTAATTTCTTGGAATTCAATGATTACGGCCTATTGGCAAAATGGGTATCTCCGTGAGTCAAAGGAACTCTTTGTATCAATGCCGGAGATGAATGTAGTGACTTGGAATTCAATGATTGCGGGTTGTGTGGAAAACGATTGCATTGATGATGCTACTATGTATTTTAGAACTATGCCTGAACGGAATATTGGGTCTTGGAACGCGATGATTTCAGGTTATGTTAAGTATGGTATGATGGAGGAAGCAGCGAGGTTGTTTGATGAGATGCCAAAAAAGAATGTCATTTCTTATACCGCAATGATTGATGGATACATGAGGAAAGGTGAGATTGACAAGGCAAGGTTACTTTTTGAACGTATGCCACATAAAAATGAGGTTTCATGGACAGTGATGATTAGTGGGTATGTAGAGAACGAATGTTTCGATGAGGCAAACAAACTGTTTCAAAAGATGCCAGATAAGAATGAGAATGTGGTTGCAATGACAGCAATGGTTGTTGGGTACTGCAAGGAGGGGCGGGTGGAGGAAGGAAGGATTCTGTTTGACGGAATACTATTTAAAGATAACGTTGCATACAATGCCATGATTTCAGGTATGCACATCTAGACACTTTAGCTTGTCTCCATTGTGTCAGTTGAACACTAAACTTGCAAAATGATCATCTAGGAACCTCCCAAAATTATGTGTACGTTAGAGTCATGTCTTTGAGACACAGTGGGAACGAGTTGAAGTATTTAGTTGCAAGTTAAGGTGTCTAGATATTGACTCTCAAAGTTGGAACGCTTACTTGCTAGCCGAACCAAGTTTGAGTATCTGTATATCAGCATATTGTATACTCCCTGTAGTGATTAAATTGATATCTCACAGGTTATGCACAAAATGGACACAGCGAAGAGGCACTCAAGTTACTGGTCGAGATGCTTAGGATGTCTCTTCGACCAGATGAATCTCTATTTGCTTCAGTTCTTTCTGCATGTGCTGCTCTCGCATCTCCTGTAGCTGGTAGACAAACTCACGCAGTTGTTATTAAACATGGGGCCGACTCCAATGTCTCTGCGTGCAATGCTCTGATTACTATGTATAGCAAATGTGGCAGCATTTTTGAGTGTGAGTTAGCTTTTGAACTAATCACAAGCCCAGACCTCATCTCTTGGAACACTATAATCGCTGCCTTTGCACAGCACGGGTTATACAAGAAAGCAGTAGCATTTTTGGAGCGAATGGTTCTCAGAGGATGTGAACCAGATGGTATAACATTCCTCAGCTTATTATCTGCTTGTGCTCATGCAGGGTTGGTTAGTCAGAGCGTTTCATGGTTTGACTCAATGACGAGAAACTACAACATTACTCCAAGACCTGAGCATTACGCTTGTTTAATTGATATACTTGGACGAGCAGGTCAGCTAGACAAGGCTTACAACGTTATCCAAGAATCACCTTTTCAAGCTGATTTAGCAGCATGGGGTGCCCTTCTTGCTGGCTGTCGCGCTCATTCCAATGTAGAACTTGGACAGCTTGCTGGAACGAGAGTCATGGAATTAGGCGGTGAGAGTTCAGGGCCTTACATCATGTTATCTAACCTATACGCTGAAGCAGGTATGTGGGGCGAGGTCACGAGAGTGAGAGGGTTGATGAAAGAACATGGAATCAGAAAGCAACCGGCGTATAGTTGGACAGAGATTGAAAATAAGGTGCATTATTTTCTCGGAGGGGATATCTCTCATCCAAAAATTCGCGAAATACGTATGATACTCAAGCAGATGAACTTGCAGATGAAAAAAGTTTTGGATTTCACTGACTTTTATACTTCATAGATGAGTTATCTGATGTTTTGTGATTGCAATTCCGACCCAATGTATTTATAAGTGAGGCATCATGCTCAATACGAATTTAAATTAATCGAAATAGTGGATTAATCTAGTTTGTTTTTATTGATTTCAAGAAACATAGATTATGAGAATTATGACATCTTGGAGGATAGTTATAATTACTCCGGGGGGAGGTACATTGCATTAATGAACCCTTTCGGAGGAAAATTATATTATTTATATATGGTTAAAATAAGTTTATATGTATATATATAATACATGTTGAATCCCCTTCGACTATCTATTTCTACGAATCTCCTTATTGAAAATTCTAGCTTTCGCCTCTAATTACTCTGGCTTATTGCTAGGGACTCGAATACTCTTTAATTTTCCATTGCGTCTTAAAATTAATTAGTCATTGATCACACCCCACAATTTTCGTTGTAATTCTTAATATTCTCTTGAAGTCAAGTTTACGATATAAATCAATTAAATAATTTTCTAACTTAAACATGAGGATATTGTACTTAAGAATCATTAACCTAGATGGAGATCTAGTGTCAGTGGGAGGGTCAAAGTAATTTTAAAAGTTCAATCTTTTTTAGGGTTGTGATAAAATTCAAATTATTAGAAATTTTTTTTCACCAAGACTGAAACTTCAGTTTATAAAATAACTTTTTTGTATGCTACTAGATGAATGCTACCAATTTTCTTGTATTTCCAGTAAGATATAGAAGGTAGTTCATATTCCTTGTATTGATACTTGTGAAGGTCACATCTAAGTGTAGGAGATGATGACTCTAGTATTAGTACTGGGTTCGAAAATCTTACGGAAATTATTCCCCTCAAGTATTCTAGGTTTATGGAATATATTCTCCCATGATAAAACGATCTTATCCACTGATGAATCGATATCTAAAATCACAGTGTCAGCGAATAACTCAACGGCAGTAAAATACACTTAAAATACTAGATTTAGTAGTAGTAGAAGAAGTCAAGAAAATTTATTTTATTAAAATGAGAAGATATCCCTCAATTTATAGAAAACAAAGGCTGGTGTGGAAAAAGTTCTTATTGTCCTTATCGGAATTGTCTCAATCCTTTGGAAAAGTCTCAATCATTTGGAAAAGTCTCAACCTTTCATAACAATCACAATTTTTCATAAAAATCGCAACTTTTTCATAGAAGTTACAATGTTTTCATAAAACTCGCAACTCTTCAAAAAAATCACAATTTTTCATTTTTCATTTACACATTTTAAAACCCAATATTATATAGGTTGCATGAATAAAGAGCGAGGTAGAATAATATTAATGGGTGAAATGAAGAGTTGATCGTTACAAAAGTTACTATCACTAATAACCACATTCTTCGAGTAAAGAGGCACAAATATAATATCAACAAATGAACATAACATGATATATAACGAACAGATAATATAATTTTAGTAACATCAAAATGTCACACCAACAATAATCCAAACATTAGGCAAAGAAAAGAAGTCAGCAATTTAGTAGTTGTTTTTTATGGACCCTAAACTCATGAAAAGTTATAGAATTATGAAAAAAAAGGAGAAAAGAAAATGATAAATATACTTGCTTTGATTTTTATTAAGAAAATAATTTATTTAGCTGAGTAGATATCCTTTATAATTTGGAAGAAAATTGATGAAATCGAATGTGGTATTATAAAAAGCTTCTTATGTGTTTACACATACTATTTATACAGAATCTTTGGTTTCTCCCAAATTTGTCCAAGTACATTTAGTTTGAATATATATATATATATTATATATATATATATATATATATATATATATTTAGTTTTTATCGTGTCACATCGTTATGTCTTGTTTCATATAACAACTGATTTGGTATAGTTATATCTTCTTTTTTTCTTCTCATTATTAGTTAATAATCATACTTTCATCATTTATCCTATGAATTATTTTCTCTTCTCATTTTTATTGACTTATTAGTTAATAATCATACTTTCATCATTTATCCTACGAGTTACTATACCATACCCTAATTTTTTCTTCTTCTAGTATTATCCTTTTACAAACGAAAAACGATATAACTGTATCTATTAAAACAAGACAGTACGATACATTATGAAATAATGTGTAACAAAGATGTAATTAGTAGAGTTGATTTTTTCATATGATCACTTAATTATCAGTTATTATTACTTCAGAAAAATATTTTTCTTTTACAAAAAAAATTGAACTTTATGAGATATTAACTATTAGTTAAATGATCATATAAAAAATAGGTATTTCATGAATGCAAATTTAAATTTAACCGGAACTCTAATATTACCGCCACAATAAATTTCTTCCAAATTGATATTTTTCTGACTTTCTAAAAAATAGAATTTCCTGTTAAGTAGGTAACATAACCCAATACTTATTAGAGATTATAATAATTAATTTTAAATTAATCCATTATTAAACTAAATATTAATTAAAACAAATTTCAACGTCATGTTTGCCGGCTCCTAGACAAAGTCAGACTTCTCTCAACTCTAAGCATTCTCCATGTCTCCTTTTATTTTATTAAAATTA